ACTCAGAAGACTTTCAAATTGTTTAAGATAAACTGAAAAGTCCTATTTATGCTTCATTACACTCCTACCACTGTACATCAACAGTAGAGTAACGCATAACTCACGTCAACAATCGAAGCGTGATTCAATGCCAAGAAACAGCTGTATGTAAAAAACAAAAAAAAACCCTCAACACCAAAACATTTCCTTACTCAGACTTGCTTCCTTTTTGTATCCAGAGTCTTATGTGACTATGCAGAAATAAAAATATTAGCTGTGCAGAGCCACTACAAGAAGGCAGGGCTGCTTCCACCCTCTGCTAAGCCTCAGCAACAGCACTGCTTCATCTTCATCAGCTGCATTACCGGGACGCCACTTCTTCCCTTTTGATCACAGTCCCCCATCAGAGCACCTCTCTCAAGTTCCCCATGCCCTCAGACTCCATTAAAGATACAACCATTTTGCACTCACAGCAGCTGCAAATCTGTCACGGTTTATCATCAGCCTGCAAGATCATACACCAAAAAACATCAGCCCCCGGAACTCACCAAAGACACCGACCTCTCATTCCCTAGGCCACTCAAAAGCTCCAACCCCAGGAGAGGGCTAATCCACATCATTAAGCCAAAGGAAATCAAAAGCCCCAGTCAGGTGCCTCTCAACATCAGAAAGCAAGCAGATTGCATGGATGCTGCTGATGACCACATTTGGCCCATTAAAACTTTTTTGGAAGGATGAGGACTCTTAGAGCACAGCTGAACAAGTAGGATTAGGAGCAACTCCTCTTTATCTTGACAACCAAAAAAATGAAAGCAGCTACAAATTCAGAGTCTCACAGTCTCTTCTAGAGCTCAAGAGCAATTGTCTGATCTAACTGCTTCAAAAGTGGCACCCACTTCAGTCACCCCATCTCTCCCTTTCCTCATTCATTCCTTAGAAAAATGACACTGCACTGAAAATTGAAAGATGGGAAATGCATTAACCAGCTCCTACTGAAGACACAGCACTCAAAGGATATGAAACTAACACCTAAAGTCTTCAGAAAAAAAATATTTCATCCCCCCAAACTCACGGTTTAGTTATTACTAACTGCACAAGCACAGACCAAGATACAACTGTTCTACACCAAGGGTGACACGCCATCACTACTCAGCTCTTCATAGCAACAGAGCCCAACTGCGGAAGGAAAACAAGGCATCCATATAATTAAAAAAAGGTAATGGTAGTTGGCAAAGAATTATTCAAATTACCCCACTGTCAGGTCTCGACAGCCATACCTACGTACAGCCTCCAGCACGCTAAGAGCAGCCCACATAACCACAGACCTCAGATTCGCAACGCTTGCGAAGGCACCACCCTTAACAGTACACCATGCGACAGTAATGTAGCAACTACTAGCAAATAAAAAAAGATGGTATTTATAAATCTCCGAGATCATGTTCTGCACTTTTACTGGGACCCCAAACACCACTCCATTCAAGCTTCCCCAGACAGCCCGTGAGAGGGGGTTCCACGGCACCGCGGCTGCAGCCTGGGGAGGAAGCAAAACCCAAGAACTTGTGGGTGACACCTTCAGCAATCTTTCTCCCTCCCAGATGAAACCGACAGTTATGTGATGCGAAACATTGCTCTGCCCTGTCTGAAGGTCCTTACTGATCAGCCGCTCTAAAAAAAACAAAAGCAAACCCAAACCACTGACCCTCATACTTTGGAGAGCAACCCCAGTGCCCCGCACAGTCTTGGTGGTCCCTGGCCTTGAGGGTTCCGAGGGACACGGACAGCCCTTGCAAAAAGCAGTGCATGGTAAGTTCAGAAACATCTCTTTCCCATATGCATGCAATGGAGATGGTGCAGAGACTGGACACAGCCTGACCTTCAGCACTTCAGAGTTCAGGAAACAAAGGCATGAAGGAGAAAACTCTCATTACTTCTCCAACCACCAGTAAACGCACTACTTCCAACTGCCTTCAGAGACGACTCTCTGCTACCACCTTCCACGACATTATTCAGAATTTCCTCTTACATGGTATTGTTATTCAGATTTCAGCTCCAGGAAGCCAGCAATTAACTGAAAAACTCATCTGTCATTTCAAGAGATAACAAATCCAGTCTCATGACTTCTGGGTACCATCCGATTTTTTAATACCTAATTCATAGTTTCCAAAAGGCTGAAGTTGCCACTACTGGCATATTTACGTCCTACTACTTCATAAGTTGTCAAAAAATCTGCTAGCTTTTAGTCAGTTATTGTATGCAAATCCCAACTTTATAACATTTCTAGACAGCTCTAGCATTATCATGGGTACAATTTATACCCTTTCCATTTCATTTAAAAAGACACTGAACTGGAACTGGTCTGGAATAATTCAGTATGAACAATATTCTCCTTCAATAAATCTGTTAAACATTGTTTTCCAAATCTAATGATGAATCCTCTAAATTTTATTTTCAGTTTTATGGAGCTGCATATATTAAAACATATAGCTTTATGAATCATCTTCACAGCCGACCAAGCAATTTTGTAATCTTGGACATTATTTAGCCTGAAATAAGCTTTGCTTTGATTATGTGCAAACGACCGTGCGTATCTATTTCTGAATGTATGGAAGATTCTGACACCTCTGGAGAATAAAAACGTGCTCTAATGACATGAGTACATTACGTAGATAACTGAGATTACTTTATAACTTAAATATTTATGATCACAAGCCTATATTAGGCAAACTACAAAATGATTCCAGCATTCCCTAATTCACCCCATCGGTCCTAGCATTGTAGAGATCGAAGGACATATTACACAGCAGCGAAAAAGAAAAGCGAATACCATAGCCTAACTTTTTATGGTCACTTCAGAAGCAGTTGTTCCACTGCAGCTGCCCTCCTTCAGAGAAAACAGAGATTTGCTCTGGTTGCAAGGCCAGCACGAGGGAGATACCACCTGAGAACGTGCAGTTGGTGCTCAGCATCTTCTGCAGAGGTATTTCTAAACACACTGGAGCTTTGGACTGTGTGAAGACTGTTCACAACTGAGACCAAGCTGAATGCCTGCAGTATGGAGCACCCACTTTGCATCCGTCCACCTCAGCTGTCATCATCTTCTGTCTTCTTCAGCGGCACGGCTGTGACCCTCCCACAAAGAGCAGCTCCATCCATGAACAAGCCTCAGCAAAACACCCTACATTCAGTGATCACATGTATTTATATGAGCAAAGCCTTTGTTATGGGTGTGCTTGCACAGAGCCAGTGTTACACAGCCCATCATCTCTCCATCGCACGATGCATGTGCACAAAGCTTCCCCTCAGCACGGCAAGACCCTCTCTCAGTGCCCAAGTGTTGCAGCTAGACCAAGCGCAGGAGACGAGATTCAAATCACCCGTTGTCCAGAGCTGTCAGACCCTGGTCTCTCACATGCTCAGTGGCGAACAGCCTTTGGGTACAAACTGTAACTGTCTTTGACAATATTTCTTACACATTTTGGCAACTAACATTCTAGTGAACCACATGACAGCTCAAAACATTTTCTTCTGCAGCAGAGAAGCAAATTATGTTGCTCCTTCCTGTTTCTGCCGTGATTAAGCAGCTGATTCACTCTCAACATCCTTAAAAGATGACTAGATTGACATTTTTCTCTCTCCCAATATAAAATAAATCCAGGCATAAAAAGAAAGGCAACTATTTCAGAGGCAATTTGGGAGCTTTAGGGTCTTTTTACAGGCAGAAAACTCTGTGATCACACTGACAACAGCACCTCAGAATGTCTCCTGTCTTCTAAGGTGTCCACGTGAACTCCTAAACCTCTATTTTTAATTTAATATTACTGACCTCAGTATCTCAATGACAATCTCAGAAACAACACAGACTTAATCACAGCCGCAAAAAGTTACATGATAAAGATCCTGCTTCTGACATAAACATAAATTAAAAAGATGTAGTATGGGAAAGCAGAAACTCCCCACAACTGCTTCTGTAGAGGATTTTCCAGAATATTTGAAAGTGTATCCATAGCTTCAGAGGGAAACCAGAACGAGATCCAGCAGATCTGCCACCAGAGGACGGGCACAGAAATCTAACATGCATTCAGTGCACCGGAATCGGAGAGAGACGAGCAGTGCCGCATTTCTACATTGGGCCCCCTTCTGCATTCCTCCTGCAAGAGGGGATCAATGCAGAAAGAGCCTGCACCGATAAGACGATGTGTCACGCAGGAGCTTGTCAGCAGCGGGATCTGCGGGAGAAGCAAGACCAGACAGCTTCCTCCAGCGCCGTTACTCTTCTGACGTACCTCCAAGGGCTCAGCAGCGCGGCCTTCTCCTTCCTCTGTCTTCTTTCTCCAAACGGGAGCAACACAGACTCGGTTCCCTATTTTACCATGTCTATTTTCTCTTCTTTGATCACTCTTAGGAAAGGCTTCACAGTGAAAGAACACTTTTCTAGGGTACTTCTCATAACTAAATGAAGGTGTGCGTTGCCTGGTTAGTGTAAATAGCACGTTAGGGCAGACTATATTTAATTGCTGTCATTTCTTGACTGGTAGTTCTGCTTTGATATCACAGCGACAAAGGTAATAACAGAAATAAAAAACATCACAGCCTGCCTGCAGAACAGGGTTAATTGGCACCTCTGTCATGAAGAGCACTGCTGGTTTAGCCTTGGCTGAGCTCTCCACTCCACCCAGGCCAAATATGGCCATCAGTGATGTTAATTTGTGCCAGTCACCTATTAAACGATTTTGAAGAACAGAAAATAATCACAGGACAGAAAAAACAGGGCAGAGGGAAATCAGTACAAAAGCCAACACACTTATCTGACCTGTGGCAGCAGAGAGACATAAAAACAGGGCAGAAGGAAGGGGCACAGAGCGTCACAGGTGACACCACTTTGCATTACACAGGAAAACCAGCAAGATAAAACAGGCTATTACTGGAACAATATTGTCCACCTTCTTAAACGGTGCTCACTTCCGCTTTAGGAAAAACAGCTTTATCAAGAACAGCATCATAAATTAAAGAGGCATCCAAACCTTATAGACTTGTCCGTATGTCCCATTTCCAACAACCTGCACCAGTTCAAATATTCCCGCAGGGTCCTGCAAAAAGCAGAAGAAATGACATTACTTGCAGCAAAGCAACCACTTCGTAATGGAGCGTAACTGCACACAATCAAAATTAAAACATCTGTGGCAGATCTCCTAATGATCTGTATTACACACTGAAGGGGAAATAGCCAAATAACAGTATAAGAAATACATTAATATTAAAGTTTTCAGTCAAGTTTCCCAAAGATCTATACACTAAACAACTCGGTGCAGATTCGTAGCATGGCAATACAGCAGATACGGCAAACGGAGATGCGTGAAGAATAAAAGAATTCAACAGATTCAGCTTAGCAGTAGAATAAGGAATAAACTCCAGGCTGCCTAAGCCTTAAAACACATAGCTAGACTAGAGGCTGTGCTGCTGTCTTCTCGTACGCAACACTTAGCTCTGGCAATGTAATAAAGAACCTAAATTATAGAACTGAAAAAATGCTATAGAAAGCACCTGAGCCCAATTACCTCAGAGAAGGGAAGTGTACCACCCCAGGCAATCTTAACACTACGGGTAGGCTGAGAACGCTCAATTGTCCTCTTTTGCAAACACAACAAGGTGACTTTGACTGATGTATTGAAGTCTTGGTCTTGTACCCAAACCAGACTGCTGTTATTTTACACAGAAGATTCACGTGTCAGGTGATCAGTGAACAACACCGCATGAGCCAGCTTTCATCCTCCTGGTTTAGCACCAGTTGCTCTAAAACCAACCACGGCAGCATATCCTTCTCCAATAATGAGACGCTGCAGCCTTTCAGATATAGGAAGACCATCTTGTTGCAAGGCGTGGGCAAGTAAATGTTCGCTCCTGCATGATCGAGCACATTAAGGAATCTGTTGCTTCAGTTAAAACTCACTTGAGAGATTTATATAAAAACATTAAGAACTCAAGAGACCAGTTTCTTGGTTTCTGGCTGAGCCATTTATCAGTCAGCTCATTTCTTGGGTTGATATCATTGAGAGATTTATATAAAATATTATTAACTCCATGTGTCAGTTTTACCACATCTGTTTCAGCAATCTGTCATGTCAGTTGATGCCTATTGGTACTGCTGAGGGATGCGATACAGAAAAACGTTATCTCAGAAGTACGATTTCTATGACCCTGGTTGCAAAATATCTTTTTTTTTTTTTTTTTTTTCTTGGGTTGGCTACTTCTCTGCTCCACTTATATGTTATTCTTTTAACATAACTAATGCTTTCTTTGTATCTGATATGGAAACGTTTACTGAGGCAAAATCCCAGTGGAAACATACAGGCTTTTTTTCTGAGCAGATTCTGCTTTCCTGGCACAACTGTCGTGATAAATAGCAATAGCTTTCACTGTCAGAGCAACCCAGCACAGACTTCCACAACTGGAAGTACTAATGAGTTCATTTGGGTTTGCCTTTAAGTTAAATGAGTTTTAATCTTATACTTCCTGGATTGTCAACCTCGCAAGACTTTAAAAAACAAACAAAAAAACAAACAAAACACTAATTACCAGATCAAATCACTTTCTTTTGACCCATGCACAGGCCAGTCTGTCATTTCTCTTCTCTCTTATTTGTAAGACCAGGTCGTAAGTCACTTCTAGACTTAAACCCCAATTCTAAAAGCTCTCACGCAAAAGGCAATCAATGCGACCGCTCATGTACGGAGCCAAGCACAGGCATAAGAACGCTTGCAACGTTGGCATCTTTGTAAAGCACTTTGCTTCCTTCTCATTTCTTGATTTTCCATCTCCGCTAGTCTTGGATACTAACGAGCCATACACTTTGCTTCAGCAGAGCTGCAGTCAGCAATACTCCATTGCCATCGACGCTGCTAAAGCAACAGGCGGGTGCTACAAACCTCTGCCTCAGGGGCGACCTTCCCACAGAGCTGTGCCTTGGGTGGCGCGCGGTCTGCGCAGTAAAACACGCGGCAGGTCGCCGAGGAACTCTTCCAGACAAGGGCCTCCATGCACAGTGTCTACCGTACTCCTCCGCAGGAAGCGCGAGCAGCGCCCCATTCCCACACCTCTGCTGCAGAAAGCAGCACTGCTGAATTAAGTTCACAGTGCGCAGAGACCTGAGGAACGTAAACTGCATTTTCAATTTGGAGTTTGCAACTGTCCCTCTCATTTAAATGTGTGCTCTGTCCTCACCCTTCTTCTCCAAGCTTATTTATTATGCAAGCATAATAATTTAATGTACCTCAAAATCAGTTTCTCTGTCTCCCTCCAATCAATTTCACTCTGATTTAGCATCCTAATGGCTTGCTTCTAAAGGTTTCAGACACTCTAGGAAAAACCCAATTATCTAAATAAATGTTGGCATTAACTTTAATACAGCAAAAATCCTACCCTGTCCTTGCTAGCCAACTGAGAATTAGCATCTCAAGCCTCCGCAGCCCCGAGTGCAGCCAAAATACTTGGCCATCTCTCTTCTTTTAATCAGGACATCGTACTGAACTGAGCCTTGTTAAGAGTCATAAAGGATATTAATCTGGGCTCTGACTGTGGTCCTTGGATTGCCCTTGTTTCCTTGGATATCAGCACTGCATCCTTCGCTGGCATTCTTCAGCACAGGCCAACTTCTTAATTATCTTGGAGTTAGGTATCATCTTTAATGTAGTACTTCCTCTCAGCTACCACTTAAGCCCCGTGGTCCATCTAACCCTTCACCAGCCAGCCCCTGCCAAATCGCCAGGTTCACTTTGACAGGCGCCAAAATCCGGGCCTGAACATTCATCACTTTAAGATTAATTACTGTAATGCACTGTACCATACGGTGGTCTTCCTGCAAGTCATCTGCGGAGTACTCAAAAGGCAAGCGCAAGGCTGCTGACCCGGAGGCACCCAGGCCACGTCCATCTCCTCTGTGAGGCAGAACGACAAACAACGCACGCAGCAAGAGCCCGACCGAAACACACTTTTCACAGTCTCTGTAGCTGAACGAGATACTGGTGTCTGAAGCTCATGTTCTTCTACGGGACCTCCGCACCCCGGCACCTAACGCAGAGATCAGAGGCTTTTTAACCCTCCGACAGCCCTGACGAACCCAGGGCAGGGACCACCTCAACAAAGATGCTCTCACAACATTTGGAAGCTACAGCCCAAAGCATGTCTTTCCAGAAGGGGAAAGCCCTGGCTAAGCACAGACCCCAGACTAAGGCTGAGGACATGAAAGGACACGTCTGTCCCTTCTCCTGTCAAGGCTGAACCTGCCGTGCTTACAGCCTCTGGGAGGTTTCTGCATCGGACGGTCCTACACAAAGCCTGCAGTCTGGTTCGCAGCACTACTCTTTTTCAAACTTACACTGGTTTCTTATCATTTATTTAAGGAGATAAGATTCATCTGCCAAAGCTCTAAAGAAGAACTTCCATTATTTTGTGTTACTCCCCTGCACAGAGCCAGGCTGAGCTTCTGCCTTGCCAGGCCAGGAGCCTCGTGCCATCCTCACAAACTTTACTGACTCTTCTGCCTTTCTTCTTTCCGTCTCTGGCCTGGAACACCCTCCTCGCCATGTGATTATTGCAAAGGCTTCTCCCAGCCCTCTGTTGTTTTTTTTTTCTTTTTCTGATATTTTTAGAAAGTAGTTTACTTTGGTTTCACTGTCTGGGCTGACTGCTTTTTGCCACAATTGAACTCTTCCCTCTTCTTCTGCGGAGAGTGCCCCAGAAAAAAGCTCTGCCTTGGTTGGCCTGGGTTGATCGGTGGGCAGCTTCTGCCTAAAAACGTGAAGTGGAACTAAGGGGCATCATACACAACCCTGTGAGCTGTTTGTGGATGTGAAACACTAACAGTGTGGCTTTTAATACGGCCAAAGTTTGGATTACGTTAAAAAAAAACTTTAAAAAAAAAAAAAGGCATAATGATAAAAACTCATAGCAAACTAGGTGAACGCTTACTTTTTTAGCTTTGGAAAAAAACCCAAAACACACCACAAGAAGAGCCCAAACCTCAACAAAAACCCACAAAAGCCAAAACCCCACGCAAGTATTTTCTTCCAGAAAATCCTCGTTTCTCATTTGTTTTCCCTCCACAGCTTCGCAGGGCGCACATCACCCTTCGGAGCCTCAGGAGGAATTATTTATTATCTCGGGAGGGGAACGACCCCGTGGGGTGGAACTCTCCCAGCGGGGCAGAGCCGCGCTCCGGTGGGACCAGCTCCCGGCGACCGGGACGCGTCCGCTGGAGCAGCGGGGCCGGG